CATCACTATCAATTCATCCTCTATTCTAGCAAACAATGTCTCTCGAGGAGGGCAAGACTGAACACCTGTACAAGGTGTCCTCTACGAACCTTGGAGTGAAATATTCTCCCAGAGCCAAGTTCAGTCAAATTTCGCAATATCAAAGAAGTTGACCCACGAGGCAATGATTCAATTTACTCCACCACGTTAAATTTTCACTCCCAACGAGTTCGAATCCTACCCAAGCCTCATAAAGTCGACAAGTACGACCAAGTACATCCTCATCCTAATGACCACACCTCTCTTCGACCTTATCTGGCCTCAGCTGGTCGCCAAATACACGCCGACGCCGATATTTATACCCGACGGAGGAAGCAAAGCGTGGAGCACAAATCTGGAAGACTGTTTTTTAGGATGGACGTAAGAGGGATCAGGACAAGTGTTGGAAAATTTACTCTGTACGATATTACATGGATAAATATGATGAAGTAAAGAAGACTTAATATTTTACAACTATGGGAACATCGGACTTATATATACATCTTGGGGGAGAAATTCCCACTAGTCTCATGTGCCTGTCAAACCTAGTGATGACTAAACACCTCTCATCTACAATGATGAGCCAAGGTACACTGTAGTGCATAAACATCTAAACGTATATACAACAGTAGGCGCGATTAGCGCACTCCGGACATGTGTAGTGAGAGTCGATCTTGTCGGGAACCTGAGACGAAACAGGTAATGGTTGAGTCCTAAATTCGAGAGCCAGAATTTCCAACAAGTTTACAAGATGATGCGAAGGACGGATATAACCTCGACGGGCATGAACTTTCAAATTTTGGCAAGGAGTTTTACGAATTGGGCTTTGTGCGCGCCAAGACTTCGATTGCGATAGTGCAGCTGACACTATAAAAACAAGCAAACGATGGAAGGTGTTATGGTCCGCCTCCTGGTGGTGTTCTCTGGTATGGTCTGAGTAGCCTGGGCACCTACTCCACTCTGGAAGGAGATATCTCAGATTACATTTCGCGCGGAGAAAAGTTGATGGATGATGGAGGCATGTCTGGATAACTCAGGGTTTTTGAGACGTTCCCCTGGGTGGGTATTCACGGATGAGGGTTGACTTGGGGTGAAGAAAGAGCCGCCATAACTTCGCAGTAGTACTTGCAAATTAAATCTGAGGCATGAGTGCTCTTCCTTTACGTTGAATCATCTATTCTGTAATTTTCTTTGATATTGTTTCATAGCTAGATAGCTGCATACGCAATTAAAAACTGATGCAAAATATTTTTTAAAAAATTCAAAAAAGTTATTTAAGTATCCTAGTTTGGCGCCTTAAGGCCCCTGAAGGTTTTTATTGGAAGTTATGTGTTTTATGCAGAATTACTCATTCATACATTTAAAACATTCACACTCAGATTTTATCTGCAGAGACCACTCGAAGCTAATCCGTACGACATACAACCTCTTTCATGAGTATCTATCATAGGGAAAAGTGTTAAAATTCCATGGTTGTCTCGGCAGCCTATGGCGTTGATCAATCGATAAACAATTTGACGTCGGGCCGGCGCCTGATAGAGGACAACTTTTAGCATTTCCAAAAAGATGTGATAGACAGGGCAAGAGCGCATTTTCCAAATATCTAATACCCGCCAATTACAGACAAAGTAAAGTTCCACAGATAGCCTCACAACCGCGAAGGCTACTGTTGTGACCATGTTGATAGTCACATCGGGAACCTTCCCTAGCTAGTGTTTAGAGTAAGAGCTCTACGCCACATCAGGTAACCAGCAACGTAAATTATTTTCTCAAAAGATAAACACTTATCACCTGACATTAATTATCTACAACAAGGTCAGTTGGGGTAGGAATTTTGTCGGAGGAGATTGGTCGATCCTTTCCAGAGCGCGCGTGGGTAAAACTAGAAAGGTCGACAAATTTTCTCCTTCTTTTGCTTCATTTTTTTAACTTGGCGCGCACTAGATTTTCGTTTGAACATTGACTATGGTACATCGGGACTAGGGTAGTAGAGTTTATCATGGAGATGAACTTCGCAACTATCTATTTGACAACGAATTACGTAGTAGATGTGGGAGACGAAAACTCAAAACCTGCAAGCAATGTCCCCTGCGAACCTCCAACTGTCACTGTAGAGCCAAGATTTAATGATCCCAATACACCATTGGGCTGGGTCATCTCCCCTTCCTTCAAAGGCATGCTTCCTATGACTCCTACGTCAATCACGACGGCGATAGGACGTTGGGAAGGAGGAAAAACTTGTAGTATCAATGACTGCAACGGTAGTCGGAAAAGCCCGCGATAATCTCAACGTATACTACGCACCGGCATAAATGCAAAGTAAAAGATCCTTCCAACCTCAAGAAAGGTAGATTTCTACCCGTCAACGAAATCGTCTCTATTTGTATTTAATCTTGACTGTGCTCACTAGAAGGGGATCCAAATTAATAGTTAGCCGATAAACCTATTTCTATAGCGATCATTAGATACTAGGCTAAGCTATTTTCGCTGGAGAGAAATTGCTAAGGAAGCACGGGATATAATGTGTATTGTTTATTGTACTACTTTAGTTTATGACTATCTAGCACATTGGGCTCCTTTGTGACCCAGGCCACACCTTGTACAGTGCTCCTTGCCTCTTTTGTTACTTGTAAGATCATTGATATATTGCCCGTGATGAATAGCCATTCAGCTCGGTGTTTACCCATGGAATTCGGCCACCCTTCCCATGGAACCTTTTACCCCCAAAAATAAACAAAAAAGGTTGCAATTGTAACAGCGTACGCGGGAAAAAGTCTCACGAATCCTGCAGCCCAAACATGCAAGCCATAGACACCGGGACCATATAGGTTGCGTATATTTATTAATAGATTTTTTCTTTATAAAATTCGAGTCTGAATTGGTCCAATCCACCATCTCCGTACCGGGTGCTGGGTACGCTCCGGAAACTATTTGGACGGCTTTTCCTCCATGATAAAGGTGATAAGGGGTTGTGATGAGAGATGAAGACGATACAGACGGCGGAATCGATTGAGAAACCTCATTGAAGCGAGGACTTTGTTACCCAAACTCGATTCTGCAGACTTTCAATGAGAGTTGGAGGTTCGTATGGGACACCACTGACAGGTGTTGAGAATAGTCCCCCTAACCGCTAGCTATTGTGGTAAACTGATCCACCTTTCCAAGTAAGGGCCGTTTTCTTGCGTTTTTGCTAGCAGCGTACCTGGTTGAGCTGTCTGTTGATACTTATGCAGAGATGATAATGTACTTTTCTCCTTCTTTGGACAGGTACCATCTCAGTATATTTGGATCCACAAGTCCTCGCTGCCGCCATTCTCAAGATTCCCATTAATCCTCCCCTACCTTGTCGCAGTCATATCCATCGGGGTTGCCCCCAGATCAATAGATTTGGCTGCAAGTAGCAGGTACATATCTTCCTAGGCTGTAGCTAGTGGTTTTTCGGATTTCATACCCCGTCATACTATCCACATCGGAGCAGTTTGGGAGCAGTCTGGGAGCAGCCGAGGTCGATCAGGCTGCACAGATCTAGACGGGTCTTAAGAGCTCTTGTGGCTGGCTGCGCGTATTAGCGCGACGATCAGGTCGGCGGCGTCGCTTACACCCAAGAGGCCACTGGTCCGCCATACGTCTGCACGTGCACGTGCATGCAAATTCGTAGGTCGAATAGATGAAGCGAGCCTCATGTGCTCCTAGGCCCTGGCAGCCCAGCCAATCTCATTGCCGCAGGTTCTACTGTGAGCGGGAGTGCCCAGCCATACCCTACGTCACCCCGCACCACCCCAAGTGTGTAGGCGCTGTTTTTATATTGCCTGGGCAAATGATTCGTTCATCCGAAGCTGTGATCTTCCCGCTAGCGACAAGAGGGTCACAGGGCTTCGGAGTGGCCCACCGAAAAGACATCTAGATCAACGGCATTGCCATGAGTGTGGTGCAGCCAGCTTAAAGTGAATTGGAGGGATCTTGTGGCGATCACAAATAAGGCGTTGCCCGAAAGCTAAGAGTTCAACGACACACGGTATTACAGCAGGAGGTACACATGATGGGCCACGGAGATAGTTCAGCGAAAACATCTAAATAAATTCTCGAGCTAGGAAATTGGGATGCTAACTGACAAGAGGGTCGCATGATTTTGTTGTTGCCCTTTATTCGGGATTCCTCATAGGAAGCAAAGCGCGGTGAGAAATCGATTGTCGCTGGACGCCCTAATAGCTGCAAAAGGATCTATCATGTTGAGTGGAACAGAGTGCTTCTTGAGCTGTGGTACCCGCTTGCCATTCCTGTGGGATTGTCAGATGACTTGCAGTACCAACCGTCAAGTGAAGGCCGAGTCAATGCTTGTTGCGTTGCAAAAGAAGGTCGATTGCTGTTGACAGCCTGAACAACCTTCGCATGGTTGCCAATCGTGCTCGCAAGGGGCCCTGTCAAAATTGCCGCTGTGCCCAATCCAGTGGTCATTGGTTGAGGTGATTGGAAATAAATGAAATTTGACCATGGGACATGACCTCACTTCACCACGAGCTGAGACGTGAATCCACGCCATACAGCAAAAGCTTATTTTCTAACCCAGTGTCCAGTCACACAACTTTGGTTGGGCATTTCGTCAGGTATTTGCCAAGCTGTTGGAAGGAATCAAGATGGTAAAGAGCCGTCAAAGTGATAAGACTTGATGGGCTCAAAACCATTCTTCGGGAGACACAAGTGGAATTGTAGCTGTGTATGGATGCACCACAGTTCGTGCCTATTATTGGTGCTATTCTACCTTTCCGAGACTCAATCGCTGCTGGGATACAAGGCTAGTCAATAATAGATAATAGATGGAATAGTCCAATTTCAAGTCACGCTACGCCAATTTTGCCTTATCTTAATCTCTGGCTTCACATCCCTTTAGCATTCATTCGACTGACCGATCAACCGACTAATACGATACGAAAACGTTCTCTTCCCTCGAGACCTCTCGATCCATTCTCCCTACCACTCCAAAGATGTCTATCCACGACGCCAAAAGGTGGGTTCCATCTGACTCGATTTCCTGCAAGTACTGAATATTGATGGGCCCAAGCTAACAGTGTGTGTTTACTCCATAGTGTTTGTGAATTCGACGAATATATTGAGAACCATAACAAGGTTGTTGCCGCATTCGTCGTGGAGGACAACGATAATTGCAAAAAGTTGGCGCCCGAATTTAAAGCGTCAGTTTACAACCAATCTATTGCTTTTTTATTAAACTATCCACAATATCTATCTGACCTGTGATGGTTACAGCTTTTCTACCAATTATCCCGATATTGACTTTGTAATAGTCGATACCAAAAAAATTCCGGACCTTTGCTATCACTACTGCATCCGCGATTTCCCAACATTTGTATACTTCAAGGGTGGTAAAAGATATCAAGAGGTTGTTGGTCCCGATAAAACTCGAGTAGAAGAAGTTATCAGATTTCTTAGATCAGCCTAGCTCTCAACTTGAGATGGAAATTAGAGATTTTAATACTGTCAAGCCAGACCGACTGATAATACTACAAATAATTTAAAGCTCAAATCTAACTCATGAAGTCATTAGTTGAAAAATGAGATATTTATCACGATTCCTCACCGTAGGCTTTTGAAAGGCCTTACACCCGCGACTCAATGTCATGAGCACAAATGTAATATCTTTTGTACTAGGACGTCGCGCCCAGAGAAAATAAAAGCGACTTGAATCGATTTCCTGATCAGTCGAGCTATGTAATCCCATGCCTCTCATTCATCTTATCTCACCAACTGTTGCACAAGGTAAGACTTGTTCCCTCCTCGACTCATAAATCATCAGTGCGATATTGCTTCAATCACAATCTTGGGTGTTAAGTTAAGCCTACCCGCTACTCTCCTTATCATTTTCTGTGGGCTCTTACGTCTCATACCTTCATGTTTGTGTCCATCCAAGAAAAGAATACGGAATCGTCGAGCTATCTTGACTTTTCAAATCTTTTATACCCAAATTGTTTGCGTTAATGCCCTGGACTAGCCAGAGCTGAGTCAAGAAACATTCAACTTGGAAGTGGAGTTAGATAATGTTGTTATGCTGGAGCTTATAGTAAGATTGCGAACGCACTTGGGGTAGTGTGTAACTGTATGCCACTCTTATACCATACATAGTTGAACACTTTAGAGTCCATGTGGTTAAATAATTTATCCCTGGCTGTCATGGTGTACTAGAATAATTCCATATGTATAATTTTGAGGAGGTCATTGGCCCGGCTAAGTTAGGGAGATAAACCCATGGAGGCGAAAATCATATCTCTGCTTAGTAAGTCCGAGAAGGGTTAGGTTCCTAGTGGATTAAAATGTGTGAAACGTGAGACAAGTTTTTTTGTTTTTGTTCACTAACGTGCTAGGTTAAGTCTCTACCGTTGCACTCCTGCTGGAGTTTAAGCACGAGTGGGAAAAGGCCGGATCAGGTTAACTACCATAAAGTACAAGTGCCTTTTTTTTGCATCAGATTTGAATTGCGTATGCAGCTATCTAGCTATGAAACAATATCAAAGAAAATTACAGAATAGATGATTCAACGCAAAGGAAGAACACTCATGCCTCAGATTTCATATGCAAATACCACTGCGAAGTTATGGCGGCTTTTTCTTCACCCCAAGTCAACCCTCATCCGTGAATACCCACCCAGGGGAACGTCTCAAAAACCCTGAGTTATCCAGACATGCCTCCATCATCCATCAACTTTTCTCCGCGCGAAATATGGTCTTGGGTGTCTCCTTACCAAGTGGAGTAGGTGCCCAGGCTACTCAAACCATACCAGAGAACACCACCAGGAGGCGGACCATAACACCTTCCATCGTCTGCTTGTTTTTATAGTGTCAGCTGCACTATCGCAATCGAAGTCTTGGCGCGCACAAAGCCCAATTCGTAAAACTCCTTGCCAAAATTTGAAAGTTCATGCCCGTCGAGGTTATATCCATCCTTCGCATCATCTTGTAAACTTGTCCTTATCCCTCTCACGTCCAACCCAAAGAACTGTCTCCCATATTTGTGCGCCACGCTTTGCTTCCTCCGTCGGGTGTAAATATCGGCGTGGGCGTGTATTTGGCGACCAGCTGAGGCCAGATAAAGTCGAAGAGAGGTGTGGTCATTAGGATGAGGATGTACTTGGTCGTACTTGTCGACTTTATGAGGCTTGGGTAGGACTCGATCTCTTTGGAAATAAAAGATTGACGTGGTGGAGTAATTTGAATCATTGCCACATGGGCCAACTTGATCGGTATTGCGAAATTTGACTGAACTTGGTTCGGGGAGAATATTTCACTCCCAGGTTCGTAGAGGACACCGCGTACAGGTGTTCAGTCTTGCCCTCCTACAAGTGCCTCATACCACCCAAATGACCGGACCACCTCAGCTTTTAAACTTCGTGTTAAAGCTGAATATACAGCATAAGTTCAATTGATGGAAATAAAGATTACGCGCTCTTATGTCCAAGTCGAGTGCTGATGTCCCGTAATCCAATCATTTCGACAAAGCGGGCGTGCTTCGGATGGCTGAGTGCTTTGGTAAAACCATCAGCTATGATGCGATCAGTTCCAGTTCACTCCACTTTAATCCGGCCATTCTGAACTTCTTGTCGTAACCACATCTGACCAATACCAACGTGCTGTAGCTTTGTATCCAGTTTAGAGACTTCACTCGTTACCACACGTAGAACTTGTCCATTATCGCAATAAAGGGTAATTTCTTCATTCTTAAGCATTTCTTTATAGTTACGAGGTGGTGGGGGTCGCTCAGAAACATGCAATCCCATAGACTTAACCATACTCCTAGATGCCGCGAATGCCATGTGAAACGAAAGATTTTGATTATTTCTAGCCAAACATTGAACCATTCTTTTCTTTCGCTGTCTCTTTCCTTCGAGTATATCGCTAGAGTCTATCTCGAAACTTCCCACCCCCAGACCCACTACAGCAATCTGTGGCTGTTTCTGTGTTTCCGGACATCCTTTAGGAAGTGAATTCTTATCAGTATTTAGATTTCTAAAAGGATCTTCGATCGAAACCTGATGCTCTCCTTTCTCAATGTATACTTCCTCTCTCGGCGGCGAAGGGGAGGGTGTCGGTAACACATTGTCAGAATTTCTGTGGCCTGAGGCATACAGCCCACCACTCTATTTGCCTGTTTCTTTTTTTTTTAATTTTTTTTTTATTACATTTGGTCCTAAGCTAACGCTATCTTTTCCACATTGGGTCAAGGACCGGTGGAGCCGGCAAGGATCACTGCGTACAGGCCCAACTCATTCCAACCGCATGAACTTCTACTGAAATTGTAGAAGTTAACAGCAAAACTAAAATCAAAAACTGAAATCAAATTTGGAAGAAATACTGTTTGGTCCGGATCTCGCGCTTCTCGCCCGTTCCCTTTCCTGCCACATCTTCCAGATGACTTTTTCTTATCTCCGCTGGGAGCGAAAGACTAGTTCGCAGATACCCTGAATTCAGCTGGTATCCTGCTATATATATTGAAGCTTTTTGTAGACTTCACCGAGGGTTGCTGTACCCTCAAACTTCTTCTTCGGATCCCAGGATTCCGAAACCCGATCCCTCGGCCATCGAGACATCCTTCGTTGAGGCCATCGTTGCCTCTTCGGCCCTTTTGGCTGCAGCCCTAAATCGAGCCAATTTCGCGAACTCCCCTTGCTGGATATGGCGGATCCGCGCGAGCTGCTCTTTTGTCACCGGTCCGGACTTGCTGGGTCTGGCTAAGCAGGCCCGGGAATCCGATCGGTGAGGTCCCCCACAGTTTCGACACCGGGTGAGGGCCTTGCACTCTGATTCTCAGTGCATATTAGATCCGCAGTTCCAACAAGCTGGAGCGCGGGAACAGCCACGGGTGGCGTGAAATTCAAGACACCGTTTGCATTGTTCGATTTTGCGACGAGGTCGGAAGAGCTTTGCAGCTCCAGAGTCGTCGAAAAGGCGGAATCCAGGTCGAGGAGCGGATTCTCGGGGAAATAGCGCTTGCCAATTTGAGTAGGGCGCCCCTGGTTTGCTAGTCCCATGAGGACGAACCAGAAAGGGAACCAACTGGGTCACTCGCGTGACTTCGTCGGCAACCATCTTTGCCGTCACGGCGATTGGGCCAGCAAGAGTTCGAATTGTCTCCGGGACGGTGGCAATTTGCATGGCAACCAGATTTGATGCTGGTTCCAGTTTGATTCCAGATTCGCTCCGTGATGTGGAGGAATCTAGGAGCTCTGTTCGAGCGAGTTCATCCTTTGCGGTTATTGCAAAGCCGGTCTTTACCCGCTGAACCAACGTGATATTGTTGGCAGCGGTTCCCAGCGCCTGAGACACCGCTAGCCTTACTCCAGCTGGAGAAAGGAGACGGTGGGGATGGAAATAGTCAAGGCGCAGAAAAAGTCGTGAATCGGCTTTTGACCTCGAGTTGGCACTCTTTGCCTTGGGGGCGGGTGGTGCTGCCTTTTTTGTCAATGGCCCAGCGCTGCGGGCTAGGCCTACCCGAGCTACGGTGGCCCAAGTTGTCTTTGGGGCCGGAGCCTGGGTTGTTAGAGGGTTAGGAACCCTTATTTCTGGTGCCCTCGGCGGAAGAAGGTTGGCGGGGCGAGCAGGGAGAACTGGTGGTGTGCTCCCTGGGCCAGATTGTACGAACTGGCCGATGGCTGCTCGAAGATAGACTTTTATACCGTCTACAAATTCTTTATTTTCGCCGATCGAAAGAGGCGAAAGTGCTGCTTCAACACTGTTTATTGCAGTCGAGCAGATGGCGAGGCGGGCCGTAATTTGCGTCGTACGTCGCTTTTCGGCCTCCATCACGGTTTGCAGCTCTGGTGGAAATTCCATTGCTGATGTAGATGCTACGCCTTTAGAGGCTGGCACAGCATTGTTTCCTGCAGATGATTCTGCACGTTCGGTTGTCTTTTCTCGAACAACTTCCTTTTCTTTCCTGGAGCTGCTTGCCAAAGGGGGCAGTTCGACGGGGGTTTTAGTCTTGGGACCATTGTTTTCTGCTCTGATCGGTTCAGAATCAGTCATCTCTTGATCGGGAAGATTTGTGGACTTCCCTGGGACAAAGGCCTCACTCGCAAATAGGCTTGATAATTTTTGCGCGAGGCCAGTAGGTTTTGGACACAATGGTGTCCGTTCAAAGCCGGCTGAAGTTGTCGGCTTTGGGCGATTTTTTCTCACCGGAGGCATTTTAAATACCTCGCGACGGCTAACAATTCGAGAAGTCAAGCACAGAAGTGGTCATAGGAATGGAAAAAGTGAAATAGGGAATTTTCGAATTTCCTCGAATGGTGCGTTTGTATGTTTGTTTGTTTGTTTGTTTGTTTGTTTGTTTGTTTGTAATTTTAAGGCCCTAAGCTACTGCTCCCGGTCCGCTACGAGTACAGGACCGATGTTCACAGCCAGAACTACATCTAGGACATACTGTTACGGGTTGACCGTGTGGTGGCTTAGG